AATAAGGTATTAATTAAAAGTTCCTAACTACATAATACTTGGAGAATGCAAGTTTTGCTTTATATTCTTCAAGATTAACAAATGAGACTAACAGAAACAGAGTTCTTGAGTGATGCAATTTGCTTGCCAGGGGCGACGGAAAATTCACAACCAGCTCTGGCGCACCAACACCGATATAGATCCCGGCAGCACGCTTCTAGGGGCTCGTCGACCATCACAAACGAAACCTTGCCCGACCGTTCGTCGACGAATCAACCTGGTGGGCCAACCCCGTGAAAGCTGTGCAAAGCTGAGAGAGAACGAGAGAGAGCGAGAGAAAGAGAGGTTTCGAGAAGAGTGGAAAAGAGGGTGCAGGGGTGGCTTCGGGGAAATTCGCGCAGTGGAAAAGGCGAAAGCGCGGACACGAAGATGGCACTGTGCAGCCTGCATCGACGTCGCGACGCTCGCTTAGGTGGGGATGGCGCAGTAGAAGGGTTAAATGTGGGAGGGTGACAGCGTGCGGGAAATGGGTGTGTATCACGAAGTAAATTTTGGGGCAAAAATGTGTTCCGGAAAGAATGTAATCTGTTTATTCCGCTGTCGCTTTTGCGGCGTTGATATGCGAAGAGACTGTACGCAGCGAAAGAGAGATAGGGGGTGGAGGGGAGGGGGGGGGGGGGAGGATTGAGAAAGAGAGACGGAGAGATATGGTTGACGTCCGCTAACTGGTTTCATTTAATTGGAAACCGTCCGTCCGATATTTGTAAGTAGTTATAAACACGAGACGGTGAATAATGCGGCGCGCGGAATGAACACACATTTGTAATGTATAGAGAGCGTATGACACGTCGGCAAAAACCAATAACTCAATTGACCCGAAAGTTTACGACAATTAAAACTTGCGATTGATCACTTTGCCCTTTATCGGCACGCTTTTCATGATGTGACTAGTGAAAACATCAAACAATATAATTTTTAACGGCGTGCCGAATTAACATAAAAATAATGGAACTTTTAATTAAGCGTGCATACCATCGCAGTAAACAGTTTAAGCTTTTGATTTAACAAGTTTTGCAGTACACTTTCACGGATTAAAATAAATTTGCCTTGCTAATTTATATAAGCCGAGCGGTAGGACAAAGGCAACGTCTGAATGTAAACTAATGTACATAAAATACTGCACATATTTTTCAAAGTATTTGTTTATTTCACTTGTAATGACTTTAGCGGTCTAACCGCGATATTATTATATGACACGTATCGAGTAAATGTTTTAATTTATTGAAACATTTGGAAAAGCAAAATGAAAATTCTTTAAACGTTTAATATAACAAATCATGTGAAGAATAAATAGAGCAATAATAATCGTGGCAAAATTTTATTGATCTCAACCGCTTAAAATGTCGTTCGAGCAGCATTGGATACCGCTATATGTATCGAAGAATCACAAATTTGAGAACCTCTGCTCAATACTAGGGATATAACGGATTATTCCCCTCGGTGCACAGAGCATTCGACGATGCCACTTTGCTCAAGCTACCATGCCATGTCCCTCGGCTCTCGCCCAGCCCCCGTACCCATTCCGACATCGATGAGCGTCAATTTCGAGTCGACGCGAGGGCGCGATCAAAAATATTTATCAAACGACGCGTCAAACGGACTCTTGTCCCCGTATTAATCCGCTCGTTTATTGCGGTCCGCGATTAACCGCGCATTATTAAAATCTATCAACAGGGGATTAAACGATGCCGCTGTAACGGGCGCCATAATTTTTTTAATAATCTTAATAAATCTAATAATCTAAATTTACCTTCTTCATATGCTTCTCAAAATCGTTGAATTAAGAACGCGAATAAACTATTTAAAGTCAAATTTGACAACTGACAGTTGTTAAAATTAAAAAAAAGAAATATTTAAAAGATAATTTGATAATTAATAATTAAAAGATAATTTGATAATATCATTAAATATTGAAAGTTAAGAATAGAAAACAGTAAATTAAAGATTGATAAAACACATTTAAAGTGACATTTTGAGAAATCGCGACAATATTAAAACCATGAGATTGGAGCTTAATCGAGAACAGTGCACTGTGAGGCATCGTTTGTTGTATGTGAATATACGTTTGTTAAATATTACCTCTCGGACGATCGTGTGCCGATATATCATTAATAATACCGCGGCAAATCATAGCGTGCAAAAGTAATGACACCGCTGTTACAGGACGAGAGCATTCGTATCGATGTCACTCGCCGAACCGGGCGGCGAATAATAGATGACGCGAGTCAATTGGCTGTGTATCAACGTGTCAGTATACTTTCAAAATGACTTCGATAAAGCAACTGCCGTGAACCGTGAGTAGCGACGAGAAGAGTCAAGCGAAAATACTCGCGCGGTAATCATCATACAAAGAGTAAAAGTGGTTGGAGTCAATTTCTGTTTTCATTGAACTTTGCACTTTCAGTGCAATGCACACAACAATGTGCCGCGCAACATTATAGCAGCAATATTTTATGTGATTTATGTAAAGTTGATTTGGAAAATTTACATCATTTTGTTAAAAAGTTATAGAGTGCATAGTTTGTACATATAAATTAACATAAGCGCAGCGAAGAAAAAACGTTAAAAAATTTATCAATTTACCGAGTCATAAAATAAGCACATTAAACATAAAACTCTGTAAGTATTTTATATAAAATTGATCATTATTTTTGCGCAGCAACTCAATATTACAATTTGGTAAAACCTCTCCTGTTTTTTGTCTCCAACAAATTGATATTCATGATCGAGCCTTCAGTGTATTCGCGAGTTCACGATTTTGTTGCAACGCAGTTAATTCTTTTTCCACGACATTACGCGAAAACCTCTTTACAATGTACGGAATCTCCATTAGATTTAACCGAAACATTCAACAGTTAACACATCGTGTACATTCGAGTGTTGTAGAGTTTTCCGCCGTGCGTTCACATACGCGCGCGCTTTCCCAATTTTGTTGCAGCCAAGCCGAGTCGTGAGCGCATCCGCGACACGTACGCGAGTTGATTGACGCGCGAATACGTGTCCGGCGTTACACGGCTCGCGAACAAGGTTGCGAACGAGCACGTACAAACGCGACGACGATGACAACGACGACGGGTCTCGATGTATGCCAAGGCGAGAGAGACACCGAGGGTCTCTGGAAAAAGTGTGGATTTCACGACTTGCGTGTATACACACTGTGCCGTGTACGCGCTACATTGCAATTCCAATGACATTTATCGCGGAATATAAAGTGAACAATATTTTTTTGCAAACGTTACTCAATAATTTGGTTTCAATATCTTATTAAAATCGCAAATATCATTCTAAAAAATATTTAAATTTAAGTATAAATAGTAAGATATTTTATTATTCGGTCGCGTGCGTTAAAAGATAAACCATAAAACGCAGTATACACGGCGTAAATTTGCGCAACAGGCATATGACAAGTTAAAGCAAGAGTCCAACAATTCGAGCGACAGAAAAAAAAAATTCGTCGTCATCGAGCTTGTGCATCCACAGCAAGAAGACTCACCCCCGCTCGTCACGTTCGGCCAACCGTAAAATGCGATAACGTTATAGAGCTCTTCGAGGGGAAATAATGCACAACTTTTGATGGCTGCGGATCGAAGGAACGTGGCGCGCGCAACGAGATTTATTTATGGCGCTCGCCCGTATCTCTCAAACGATATTTTTCGCTTTGCGTTTTATTTTTAGATATACATATGCACGAGTTGCGACATTCCGCGATAGAAACCAAACCTCGTATTTTACAATAATGTTCCCGTCGTGTTCAAATAGCGAATTTATTTATTTAAATGTCACGGCGATAGTCTTCTTCGACGTAGAATGCAAATAAATACATAAAAACATCGAAATCATATCAACTCTTCAAAGTTTCCAACATAGAAAGAAATGTGAAAAATAGAAAAATGTCGCAGTAATCTCCGCAATTTCATCACTGTTTCTATTTCAATTTTCAAGCAGAGAAAAGAATTCCTTTAACTACGATTTGAATTATCATTAAATATTTTTATCTAATAAAAAAATAAATATTGACACAAAAGATATTAAGTTTTGAATTATTTTACGTAATTGGTTGTTCATTTTCTTAGCTAGATATATTCGAAATTTTTCTTAGAATTTTTTGGTAGCTCAGACTTATCCTAAAGTTATCTCAAAGGTTATCGTAGTCTTGCTATAATTTTTTGCCTGTTTCAGATAAACTTTTTTTCCTAACACGTAACGAGATGTAGTGGAGGACGTGTGCACGCGAATGCGTTATGCGAAACTATCGTTCAGTCGTGGTCCGCTCACGATCTATGCATATGAACTTACGTAATTGATTCCGTGCCGGCTCTCACCACGGCGCGAGCGAGTAAGGTGCGTACGAGCGTTACGCGTCGTCGCCGACGAGGCAAAGATATCGATCGGAGGAGGGGTCGCCTCAACTGGTAGTTAACGAGCTGCCGGAAATCAACATTACATATCCGGTTGTAATGCGGTCACAAGAGAGGAAGAAAATTCACCCGTTTCTCCGGTTAATGTATTTCGCATTTCTTGCACGAAGAAAGAGTCGGCGCAATTTTATTTGCTTTATCGTTTCAAACGAGAAAGAAGACTCAAATACAAATATCTTTCCCTCTTTTGAAAAACGAAATTTTATCAACAGGCATCGCACAGTTCCAACATCAATGCATAATTATATAATGTTTTCCCCTGCGAAATTTAGTGAGAGATTATTTGTCGCAAAATGCAATTGAATATGTAGCAAATTTACTTCTGTCAATCTAATTTGAATTTAAAGCCTTATCGCTAGCTTATGAAATGTTAAAATTTGATAGTTTCAAAATATGTTCCTTTTCCTCCGTGTAAAAAAAAGATTTATTCGAAATTTCGCAAGAAACAACATTATGTGTTTGTCGCGAACGTTAATAAGGCAACATTAATCGCCGGATATAATCGACGATACGAAGTATAGCAACTTGTTCGGTTTCACTTACCTTTGGTTCCGTCTTTATTTTCTTCGCAGGCGGAGGACTCGCGGCAGTGTCCATGGCCTCCTCGGCAGGCGTCGTAAGCGGTGGGCCCGGCACCGCGGCGACCTTGGTCTGTTCGGGCTTGGCCGCCGCGCCGGCCGCCGTAGCGCTCGCCGGACTCGGCGGCGGACAAGGCGCCGCCGCGCTAGTCGCAGGCGGCCCGGGGCCCTGTGATACGGAGAAACCTGTCCTTGAGCTGGGCGGTGGTCCCTGGGTCTGTTGTGGCGCCGTGGCGGCCGGCGTCGGCCCCTGAGACTGGGTCGCGCCGCCAGCGGAATTTTGGCTCTGCGGTGCCGGTCGCGCGGTGCCGTTCATCTCCGGTTTGGTCTGCTGTGGTGTGTGATTGCTCTGTGGCTTCTCGTGCTTGTCGCGCGCCTTATCGCGCCGATGGCCGCTTGAACCACGCTTGGAACCGGCCGTGGACGAAGGCGCGGCACCGGTGCCGCCGGCCGACGCCGGTGAGTGACTCGGTTTCGATTTATTCGACGAGGACGATTGGCCGCCGCCGGCTCCACCGCATTCCGAGTTCTGTGAGTTCTGCGCGACCGCGGCCGACGCGGACGTTGAGCCGGCTGCGGAGGATGAGGAAGTCGAGGAGGCGGCGGTGCCGTTGTTGGAGTCCTGCGACGAGGCGGTGCCGTTGATCTCGTTCGATTTGACGATCTCGTGTTTGGCCTCGCTTGTCTTGGTGCCGGGCTTCGTACGCTTGATCTTCATCTTGAGGCCCTTGTCGACGGTGGCCGAGTGTTCTACGGCCATCTTGCCGGGATTACCGGCGTTACCGTGGACGGCGTTGACGCCGCTCACGTTCACGCCCGACGCTTGTTTGTTACCGGGACCGGTGACCACAGTTGCGGTGCCGTTCGCGTTACCGGCGCCGTTCGTATTGCCGGCGCCGTTCGCGCCGCCGCTGCCGCTCCCGGGACTATTGGAGAGCGCCGACGACGAGTTTACGCCGCAAGAGGACGACGATGACGACGATGACGAGGACGATGAGGAGGACGACGACAACGACGACGATGACGAGGTGGATGACGACGATTGACTACCGGCGTTCGTGCCAGCCGACGGGACGGATGAGGACGAGGAATTGGAAGAGTTGAGGCCGCTCGTTGAGTTCTGTAACTGATGATGATTCGCGTTATTCGGTGCCGATGCTGCCGAGGCAGGCGTAGAAGCCATGCCTGTCCCCGAGCTCAATTTCTCGTCCCTCGTCTTCTCAATGTCCGCATCAAGATCGATTATCAGGTCACCTATGCCGATGTCCCATTCGTTGTCGTCGTACTCGAAGTTATTGGTCGCATTCGTCGCGGCCGGATCCAGTTCACCGGCGTTAGCAGCCACTGTGCTTGCTTTATTAGGCTCACGCTGCTGGCCGGACGATGACGATGACGACGACGACGACGACGACGACGACGTGGATGACTTGTCCCGACCCTGATGATGGTGATGATGGTGGTGATGATGGTGATGATGGTGATGATGGTGGTGACGATGATCGCGGTGTTCCCTGCCGACCAGCGCTCTCTCCTGCCTCCTCGATTGACCGCCGCTGCCGGTGTTGCCGCTGCCTAAACCGTTGTTGCTTCCGCTGCTCCCGCAGTTGAGGCCGTTGTTACCGTTATTGGCGTTGCCGTTACCGCCGCTGCTATTACTATTACTACTGTTACTGCTGCTACCACCACCACCGACGCACGGAGATGGTCCTTTGCGGTTTACGTTAGGGAGGCGACCGCCTAGTGGCGTGGTCGCCATGCCCTTGGAAACGTTTCCCCGGCGCCCGCCAGCCTGGTCACCGACTGCCCGCCTTTTCTCACTTTCGATCCTAAGTAGCAGTGGCAGCGCGCGCGATTACACGCGTTATCATTACCCCGACCACCGCCCGCGAGACGCGCCTCGTCCATCGAACACATCACTCACTTTCTCGCGGCTACTCTCAACGTAATTCGCGAATATATATCCTGGCTGTATCTCGTTTTCTCCCTTACTTCCCCCCTCTCTTTCTCTCTCTCTCTTTCTCTCTCTCGCTCTCCTTCTCTCTTCCGTGCCGTCTTCTTCTCTTATCGCGTGTACGAGCTTATCCACCTTAATTCCTCTTCAGCACTCTTACCCCCGTCGTTAATTCTTACTCGCGGAGCCGGGACGAGTAGCTGCTCGATATATCTCTCACCACTCTTCACCGACAACACACTGACATCCCCGACACGACACCACGATCACTAACAACACTGCCCCTCCGTTTCGACGCGATCACGAACACACCACCCGACACCACTCGTGATTACTTCCAACGTCGTAGGAAATCTCGGCGACCATCCGCGCTCTCGGAAATCCTGAGATCCGAGGATGGTAGCGAGGTGACGTCGCCGGCCAAGCTCCTC